CCAAATATCTAATTCACATATACGCAATAGTAGTGATTTAATTGATAAACTCAAGAAACACGAACCTTGCGAATTAATAAGTTTTGATGTAAATTCACTGTTCACTAGAGTACCTGTGAAAGACTTACTCATTTCTTAAAGATAAATTACAACTGCTAGATTTAACTATTGAACATGATACGAAATTGATAGAGTTATGTGTAACTGACAATGTGTTTAGAGCAAATGGGAGTTCTACAAACAAATATTTGGCAGGCATGGGTAATGTCTTTCTCCTCTAGCCTGTATTTATATGGAGTTTTAGTCTAGATTACTACCCAATATAGTGGACTTTATTCCTCCTTGGTATAGATATGTAGATGATGTTCTTTGTCTTTGGCCTAAAAACAGTGACCCATTGAATTTTGAAAGACTTAATAATATTGTCCCTAGTATCACATTCAAAATTGAAAAGAAATAATGAATCCTTCCATTTCGATATGCTTATCATGAGAAATGGCCAAAACTATAAGGTAGAAGCACATGGAATAGGTGGATCAGTATTAAAATGGATTAGGTCATGGTTAACTGGTAGGAAACAGAGAGTCAGCATAAATGGATTAAAGTCAGACTGGGGTTGCGGTCAAAAGCGGAGTTCCCCAGGGATCTGTATTAGGCCCTCTGCTGTTTGTTATATTCATTAATGATCTTGATTTAGGCATAACTAGTAGGATTAGGAAATTTGCAGATGATACCAAAATGGGGAGAGTGATAAATTCAGACAGTGACTTTGACACCTTCAAAGAGATCTAGATACCTTACATGAGTGGTCGGTAGACTGGCAAATGAATTTTAATACTGATAAATGCAAGGTACTACAGATAGGAAGACGAATACAAACGTTAAGTATAAACTAGGTAACACGGAAATAGAAAACTCAGTTTGTGAAAAAAGATCTAGGTGTATTTGTTAGCAACGACTTGAAACCTAGAAAACAATGTATTAGCGTTCGCAACAAGGCAAACAGGATTCTTGGGTTCATATCTAGGTCTGTGAGTAACAGAACTGCTGACGTTATCTTGAAACTTTTGCGCCATTGAGGCCACACATGGATTATGCGGTTCAGTTCTGGTGTCCTATTATAGAATGGACATAGATTCTTTGGAGAGAGTACAAAAGAAATAAAAATGATCCATAATATTAGAAACCTTCCATATGAAGAAAGACTGAAAAGCTTAGGCTTACATTCATTAGAGAGGCGTAGATTGGGAGATATGATAGAGGTGTACAAGTGGGTAAGTGGATTAACAAGGGTAAAATGGAAGATGTTCTGAAGCTCAGTAATAACGAAATAACTAGAACAAATGGCTTTAAATTAGATAAATTCCGATTCAGAAAGGATATAGGCAAGCACTGGTTTGGTAATAGAGTTGTGGATATGTGGAATAGGCTACCAGACTGTAGGATCGGGGACGCTAGGAGCTTCAAGACGAAGTTGGATGGGCACATGGAAGTGCTGGGATGGGTGTGAAAGGATCTGCCCTGTATGGGCCAGTCGGCCTCCTGCAGTGTCCCACTTTCTTATGTTCTTATGTTCTTATAGAAAGCCCACACAGGTAGACAGTTTCATTCACTTTTTATCGAATCACCTTGAGTCTACCAAAATGTCAGTTTTTTCTGCTATGTTCCTAAGATGTCTGCGTATTTGTGACTCTGAATTTATTGACGATGAATTTAAACACATTCGTTCTATTGCACAGAAACTTGGGTACCCTTCTGTGTTTGTTGATCGTTGCTTTAAAAAGGCTAAAAATCCTTTCATTCCTCTCAAACCAGACAAGTTCCTACACTTAAGAATATTTTGACTCTGCCCTATCGTGATGAATTTGTCCCGTTAGTTCGGTCCCTCAAGCTTCTAAATATATATGTTGTTTCAAGTATGATCAACCATTACCAATATGTTAATAAGGAATAGTGAAGTTTGAATGTAAATGGAAGTGTTTATTGTATTCCATGTAGCAAATGTAATTGTAATTATGTAGGTCAGACAGGAAAAACACTGCAGCTCAGAATCAAACAACATAAGTATAATATCAGAACTGCATCTGAAAGCAGTGCCTTGTTCGTTCATGTTAGGAATAATAATCACCCCATTGCTTAAAAAGCTTAGAAGTATTCAAATCATCTTGTGTCACAGAAAGACTTCTGGTTGAAGCTAGTTTGATTAAGGAATTAAAATCAATAAACCTTAGTGATGGTCATTTCAAAACTGATAATATGTTACATAAATTTATTTGTCAGTGGCCCAAGGTTAAATGCTTTGAAAACCTTTGATCTTGATGTATGATAGTTATTTTGTGGGTCCCTTTTTCTGACCTGACCTGTCTAGTCACGTCATCACCCTCTTAAGCTCCTACGTGTATGTTGGTGGGGGATTAGTGGATGTCATCATTATGACCTGACCTCATGTTTTAGGTCACCCTGTATATTTAAGCCTCTCTGTCCATGTAATCCAGTTGCTTCCTGAAGATGTCTTGAATAAAGACGAAAGCTAAGGTACCTGTTGTTTCCATTTTCCCGTGTGATTTTATCAAGATTTATCTTATCCACGTTTTCATTATATTATATATATATATATATATATATATAATATATATATATATATATATATATATACTATATGCAAGTAAATTGTAGGTGGTTGTACCTCAAGATGTAATTACAGGAATGTGTTTTTTTTCCATATATATATATACAACAAAATATTTTAACACAGACATGGCACTATGCTCTTCTTACCATTTAGGGTCACTGAAGAAATGCTGTTCAAAAATTAACGTCAGGTAATAATACTCAGATTGGTAACCTTTCGACTCTGCGGTCTGAGGAGAATGTTCGGTAAAAAGCGCAGGCAGCAGCACATCCTTAGATTCATACGTCAAGCAGAACTTACCCTTTGACTGATCGTCCGCCTATAGGATTTGATACGGAAAATTACAGTAAATGTGATATGCTATCAATAACAAAAATATATATTTACTCATTGAAACTCCATAAAATAATGAGTTATTGTAAGGACAGTGTGCAAGGAATTAAATAAAAATAAACAGTATATGAATTTTCATACAAACCAAAACGTAAATATGAAACTATATTGGAAATCAACTGATCTCCCGTGATGGGTTTCTTTGATACCTTATATAACGCGCTTATGTTTATTTAACATTCAAAACGTAGATCAAGAAACTAAAAAATAATGACTATGGTCTATTTAGATTTAAAATTTTTACGTTAGATAATACCTTTCCCATTACAATTATTCGATTACCAAACAGTGAGGTACTACCGCCTGGGAAGATATTGGAAGCATAATGTGTTGTCTAATGGTAGACCCTGCTGCCATATGGCATCACGAAAATTGTGACCAAGTCCCAGGTTGTGTCTGGACTTTCTGCCTCATTTACACACAATTGCAGGGTCTCAATTGTTTCTCTTACCATTGACAACACAAACATATGATCTTTTTTATTTTATTTTGTTATGGTTCTTTATTATTATTATGCAGTTATTATTATTATTATTATTGTTATCATTATTACATATTAATTTTGTTTTGTATTTTTTTAATTTTACTTATCTGAATTATTATTATTATGATTATTATTTTTGTTTTATTATTATTACTTAATTTTTCCCCAGGTCCTGATGTGGGTCAGTGACCTGTGCCCGGGCAGGCTAATCCCGTAAAAAAAAAAACACCAGCCACCGAATGGCGCATGAAAAATAGTAGTAGTTTAGCCGACTAATTGCATAAAATGTACTACTACTACCACTAATGATAATGATAATGATAATGACGATAATTATAATAATAATAATAATAATAATAATAATAATATTAGTAACAATAATAATAATAATACTAATAATAATGATAATAATAGTAACAACAATAATAATAATAATAATAATAATAATAATAGTAACAATAATAATAATACTAATAATAATGATAATAATAGTAACAACAATAATAATAATAATAATAATAATAATAATATCATCTACCCGTTCATTATGATTATTAATTATATCACAAAGTTAAAAACTGGAAATATAATATTTCTAAGTCTATTTTCTATCTTATTTTTTTACTGTCGGTGAATACTGGCCAAATTCTATCACAAGAATCAGTAAAAACAAGAAGATGAGCGTCCCCCAAAAAGGTCTAAAAATCACAAATGCTGAACACGAATTGACGAAGGCATACACCTTGAAGCCGAGAAGAAAACAATAGTATATCTTTAATATTTTATTATTCTTTAATTACAATGTAACACCAAACATATAATCTTCCTATTTTATTGCGTCAAGCACATTCTTCAGTACAGGCTACTCATGATGAGATAAGAACCCTGACAATAAGAAGAACAGAATTGACTATAAAGCTAATAATATTCAGTGTGGAGAAATATAAATATACTGTATGTTACTGAGCTGGTAGTTGTGGAATATAATAGAAATTACATCCGATAGCAAGTGTTTTTTCCCAGCTGAGAAGAGATGCCCCCGCCCCTTCCTCAAGAGTTACAGCTTATTGGCTGTTGCAAATCTGTCCGATTTCATCCTGAAGTAATGATGTATTTCTAAATGAGTTTATTCATAATCGTTCGGATGACCGTTGTTTTGGATGAGAAAGATGGTTGAGCTAAATTATTTAAAAGATACATTCATTACTTCAAAACATGAGCATCGCAATGAAGCTTATCAGAAAATCTTTTTATATGAATTAACTGTTAAACTGTGATAGCAAATTCACGCTGTAACTCTTGAGGAAGGAAAGGGCATTTCTTCAGCTTGGAAAGTATAGTTAAAACAAATACCCCTTAACCCTTCTCTTCCTGAAGGTCGAGTAAATATATCTTAAAAGACATTTAACAACTCACTTGAAAGCATATTCAAGTTACATGTCTTAACAAGCAGGTGTTATTGTGACCCCATTATGTCAACCAAAAGCAAACCTTCCAGTTTTAAAGATCTGCAAAAGGGACATAACTATGACAAGAAGAGACAGCTGGCAACGACCTCCCCCACCAAGCTGAGCAGAGCCGCATTGAAGCCCAGAACAATAGAGATAGAAACTGCCCTGAAGGTGATGCAGGCCGAGCACCACCTCTCTGCTGTCATCCTGTGGAACATACTATACCTATTTAAAAAAAACAAAACAATATATATATATATATATATATATATATATATTTCATGTAAATTCACAATGAAAAAACATGGATAAGATAAAATTGAAAGGCCTTTAGCTTTCGTCTTGAATAAAGACGAAAGTTAAGGTAATTCGTTGTTTCCCATTTTCCCGTGTGATTTTATCGATATATATATATATATATATATATATATATATATATATATATATATATATATATATATATATATATATATATATATATATATATATATATTTGTAACCGGTCGGAATTAATGGAATTTTATTCTCACTTGACTTGGGGTTTATTATTTATTATTAGATGGTAATTGCAGTGGAAACGCCCCTTGGAGAAAAAACCCGAACCAGCACAAAAACACTTAAATTTACTAACAAAAATGAATTCTCCGTGACCCGTGGAAGGCTAGCACCTGTGATTGGGGTGAATGAGACACACTGTAAAATTTAGACACTTCTATTCCCTCCAACACTACAGACACAATCAATAATGGTACACCAACATATGCGCACCTCTTAACCTGGCTTAAGACAATACACTGGGGAATAAAAGTTATACAAGATATTGAAATTATTAGAAACTTAGAAAATGCCTCATTAGACAACAATAAATTCAAAGTATTAAGAAATGTTGCTTGTGCACATGAAACAGGCCTTAAGGGCTTTCAACAAAATAATATCAACCACTGAGAAAATGGTATAAAAAATAAGAATTGATTAACTCCACCATGAATAGGCCTTAAGGACACTCGATATAATTATGTTACACCAACGGATGCACACCTCTTAACCTGGCCTTAAGGGCTACACTGGGGAACAAAGGTTATACATGATATTGAAATTATAAAGAAATACTAAATGCATTAAAGGAACTGAATCACAGAATCACTTACAACAGAAAGGAGGTTCAAGGAGGAACCTCATCTGAAAACAGTTCCCTCATTCTCTGGCATCAACTAGTGACACAAACATTAAAAAAAAATACTATCAAAATTATTTAAGAGATATTAACTACACACAGCAAGACAATAGCAGACACTGAATAAATATCATCACTATAACTGAGTCCACCAATACCCGTGAAAACATGTTCCTTAACCTCACACATAGATTCCGCATGCACCCGTATTTTCTTAAGGCACAACCAAGCAGACACCCGTAGTTTAAAGCACAAACAAGCAGACACCCGTAGTTTAAAGCACGAACAAGCAGACACCCGTAGTTTAAGGCACAAACAAGCCCGTCTCAACCTTGGAAAATGTACCTCTAAGTTCCACTAGTCTCCTGGTCTCAGTGTGTGACCATTCATTCACTCAGCTGGCCTCATTTTACACTCAGCACATCCATGAAACGGAAGGGAGTGAGCAAATCAGACCTTGTTCAGTTGAGGGGAGCTTTAGCTTCCCGTTAGTAAAAGGTTTTCACTAAACTGCTTGAAGATATGTGATATTGTGGGCCGAGGTAGAGGAGATCTGATGACCCCAAACGATCGTCAAACAGGGACAGACGATGGTCCCACGTCGTTAGTTGTACACCCAGACAGCTGGTTTCACTCCAATTCTCACCATACTGAACAGCGTGGGCTCAACTCAGGTGAGTGGACGTTTTATACCGTCAGTGGACGTTTCATACCGCGTGGGCTTTACAGAACCCTGCAACAAACCCGGTCTGTTAGCTATTGTCTCACATCACCGTCACTCACTCATTGTTTGCTCCTACCGCCCTATCTAGCTCTGTCTGAGATTGAATAAAACTCACTTGTTAACACTGATGTTAAATGATCGAAGGAAACCAGTTCACCTGGTCGTCTCTCCTGGGTACAACGCAAGGGTGGTCCTGCTAGCTTGACCCCCTCTCACGACTCACCAACCCACGCTCTCCTACAAAGCGTCAGTCTGACGGAGTGACTTATTTACCAGACGACTAACAGCTTAATTATGACGCACGCAACATTTTCAGACTGGGAAACGATCTATAATAATTTTTAACTTAATAACTGATATTTTATTTCATAATTTGCATCCAAATTATGTGGCCAGAGTATACTTAACATTATATGGGCGCAGTTTCCCTGAGTTCTCACTACGGTTGAGGAAGTGCTGTCCTCTCTCAGACGACCTTGAAAAACTCAGTATCGCCTATATGGCATGGCGTCTCTAAATATCGCACTGAGATTTCAGAATATATATATATATATATATATATATATATATATATATATATATATATATATATATATATATATATATATATATATATATATATATATATATATAATCAACGACCTCACCAGCCAGGACTCGAACCCTCGACCTTATGCATGTGACCCAGTGAACGCTACCACCTTTGCCACAAGGACACTAAAAGCAATCCTAGACTACATCTTGAAGTCCTCGTGCTATATGGACTAAATGAAGGTACCTCGTGTTTCATACCAGCTGGATTCGGTAAAATGCTACTCCCACCACATAAGTGGCATGGGCAATCCCCATTGGAGGTTCATGGCGCCATCAGCTCGATGAACAGGCTTTGTGTGAAATATAGCAAAGGCTAGGATTGCTTTTAGTGTCCTTGTGGCATGGCGGTAGCGTTCCCTGGTCACACGCATAATGTCGAGGGTTCGAGTCCTGGTTGGTGAGGTCGTTGATTATATGTTGAAGTCCGCTTTCTATATGGACTAAATGAAATTTATATATTAGGTGAACTAGTATGTGACCATCCCCAAGATAACCAGCCCTTACCTACCAAATTTTAGTTTTCTATCTTTTAAGGTACGGAAAAGCAAAAGAGCCAGAGGAATGTCTTACCGTCATTGGCTGGCCCCCTTTCTCTGCCTCAGATGCCTCATCCCTGGTCTTCTTGACGTGCCTGGCAATTACGTCATCAATCCAGTAGCTCATAATTCCAGTGTCTCCCAGCCTGGCCATCAGTGTACTAAACCGAGTATAGAATGGCGCTCCTTTCCTGGAAAACAAAACAAAAAACAAAAAAACATGAAAAACATATTTACTATCATTATTATATACTTACAATAATAATAGTGTTGTACTGCTCTGTTGGCCTGTATTCGATAACAGGGAGCACCGAACGGCTCCTACACCATACAGACTGGAATTTCGTCTACCTCGGGGTCCTTTCATTTTATGGGGGGAAGTGTTACATGTTACAGTGCAAAGGAATACCTCATAATACCATTTTTCAAAATAAGTACATCACATGTCGTGTTTACCTATCAGCACTTTCGGCAGAGACGTTAGATAATTCAAAACTTAATATGTCTGATTATATATATATCCTAAACAATAATAAAAACACATAAAAATTGCTATAAAAAACGGGAAATAGTTTTCACCCAACAATGTTCATTATCTAGAGCTTTGATTTCCAGTACCTCAGCATAGTAATCCAGAGAGGGAATACTTGTTGCATACTAGGCTCTTGACTCTTGCCTGAGGAACTCGAGGGAGTCTCCAAACAGACACATACTCTATAATAATATGTCTAACCTTATGAAAATTATTGGCTTAGTGCTTTACTGAATGGTTAGTCAGCAACTAAAAAATTGAGGGATATTTTCCCCACTAATATTTACCAGAGCAAAAAGTTGTTATACCAAAACACGGATTAATACTCTGAACCTACATATTAAGTAAAATACTAATTACTAGATATGTTTAAAGATTTGTTTCCATTTCCCATGTTGAATATGATGAATATTAAAGAGCATATAATTTAAGGAATAAAAAGGTATCTCTGTACCAGTGTGTCAGCTATAGGCCTATGGTCGATAAATTTTCTAGAAATAAAGGCTTATAGCGAATTTCATATACTGAAAATATAAATAAGAACTTCGTCATTATCACTCACGATGATGATAAAATTCCAGATGTGATGTGGATTACAGTATCTGAATGTGAAAAAATGATAACCTCATTGTAGAAAGTACTTAACTCCGGAAGAAAGTTCTGATGTAATTCTAGTTACTGTATCTCTTTCAGTATACATTTTCTAATGAATCGGAGGAAAAAAACAACATTGTTCTGAGATTAAAGACAAGTTTAACATAAATTATCCAAGGAACATGGAAATATGTTACATATTTGTATGAAATGCGCAAGAACTGCCCAAAATAAAAGTAATCATGTGAGCCAGTACAAGTTGTGAGTATGATTATGTGCAAATAGTTATAATCAGGAAGTGCAATATGCTTAGCAGCCTTAGTTTACTTTCGTTTTGTTATCATTTACTTGTTATGTTCAAAAGTTCGCACCTGAATTTATATCCAGTTGCCTTACTTGTGCATGATAAGTTTTATAATATACGAATCACACCTGAAGCCCCATCCATAGTCTGGTAAGGAATAGACTCCTCTCTGGCTTATGTAGAAGGGTGTCTGGCCTCGGGCGTCAGTGTAATGAGAGGCGACAATTACGGTGAGGTGCTTCACCATGCTGATGAAAGTGTAGCCACCCTCCTGCACATTCAACAGTCCCTCTTGCCAGTCCAAAACCTAGTTCAAAGTTTATAAATGGTGTACTAAAGCTCATATATACGGAATGCAGTTTATAATTATGCCAGAATAATAAAGATTGCCATCTAACAGGTGCAGATATAATTTGGTTGATATGAAAATAAACGAGAACTACAGGTATATCATGAAATTCTAAAATACTGTGCGTTTGTGAAGATTATGAAAATCAATATATAGTCTAGTCAACCAAGGAAATTTAGAGGCCTAATCTATCACAAATTACAGTAGATTTTGTTTCTTCACTGTATATTTCCAAATGGTTTAAGAAATGCCATTAAAATTCCACCAAAATCAGCCCTGAAGAAATATGCCTAATTTGTAAAAATCTCTGATGACCACCACACTTCCTCTGCGTAAGAAATATGGCTCTATATTAGCTATTATATGAGCTTATTGGGTGATTTTAATGTTGCTATGTTGTTTTCGGTTATAGGAACACTGCTTCAAGTCACGTATTGATCAGAAGTCTCTTTCATTAGCAAAAGTGCACGTGGCTGCCAAAATGTATCTAAATATGTTGTGTCGTAGTTTTTACATTGTAGTTTAGGGTGATCGTAAACTGGATATATCGATTTAGAGACTACTTTTTCATGGAACTGCTATGAAATATTAATTTTTGCATTAAGGAAATACTTCAGGTCAGGAATTTCACTTCCAATAGTCAGTTAAAACTGCAAAAATAATGCAGCAATTAGCGATAAATGACCAGAAGAAAAAATTGGTAACACTGTTTACAATAAAATCCTTATTTATAATCTTAATTGTAGATGTTGTATGTACCTCTTTTATTCATCAATTTAATTTTAGTGTTCAAATTACTTTGAACTGATGAATTTAATAAAAAATATATTCATAATTTGCAGTGTGATGAAACAGAACAGGAACGACAGAACCGAGTGACCCAAAGGAGCATAAAAAAAAATCTTGACATTCTCGCAAGTTAGTGACCAACATTCAGCGTAGAAAGTCTCATAATTCTTAAAGCGCTGCTAAGCTTTAGTTACGTTAAAGGATATGTTGAAAGTTTTCTCTGGAGATCATCAAAGCAGAATTGGCTGAAAATTGGGAACTGCATATTCAAGTGTTAGTTACAAGACTAGAGAGGCCATCTTGAGATTATATCTTGCACTTGTGAGACCTCACCTGGATTACGCAGTTCAGTTCTGGTCACCGTATTACAGAATGGATATAGAATCCTTGGAAGGAATCCAGAGGAGAATGACAAGACTAATCCCGGGCATTAGGAACCTTGAGTACAGAGACAGGTTAAAGCATCTTAATTTGCACTCCCTCGAGAGACGTAGAGCGAGGGGCGACATGATAGAGGTGTATAAATGGAAGTCAGGGCTAAACAAAGGGGACATTACAAAGGTACTCAAACTATCCAACCAGGAGCGAACTCGAAACAATGGTTTTAAATTAGACAAATTTAGATTTAGGCGCGAAATAGGTAAACACTGGTTTGGTTGAATGGAACACGTTACCAAATATCATCTTTAACTGGAATACGCTGAATTGCTTCAAACATAGGTTGGATGCTTATATGAACAATGGGGGATGGGTGTAAATGGGACTGACCAGTATGGGCCAATAGGCCCGCTGAAGTTTCCTCCATTCTTATGTTCTTATGTTATCACTGCGTTTCAGCAACTAAGTTTCATAAACGTGTAACTAGGTTAGTAGTTACATTAGTCCATCAACAGTTAACAATTATGAGAGATGTTTATGTTTTGGAAGATTTTTAATATGACATTTAGAAGCCATTTTTGAAATGCTTAATGGCGCTAATATGATATAAATTTGTGACGGGTCTATCCTTAGTTTGACCAGACTAATAAGAATTAGTTAGAAATATAATATAAGATATTCAGTAACACGTCAGACTGACCTCCATCTCCTGATAAACCTTCTTCACCACAGAGTCTGTATGTTTTGTAAAGTAATCGTAAGGTACCCCTTTCAAATTCCAGGTTTCGATACCCCATTTCCAGTTGGATCGTCCTACCATGTCCTCAAAGGTATCTAGGGGTAAAGACTTCCCCTGTACAGTAAGGTGAGCGATTAGAGACGACCGGAACCCCGTTGTGATGACCAGACAGAACACAAGCCACCACCCCACCAATACCTGTGCAAAGAATACAGGTATTTTACAAGATAGCTAAGGATAAGGTAATGATGAAGTTGTCACCATCGGTTCTCATACAATGACTACCAGCAAGTGCAACAATGTCAGTAATGGATATTATTGATCATATAAAAGTTTATCATTGCTGAAAATAAAAGAATGTAAACGGGACAGAAGATAAGGTATCAACTAGTGGTATGAACTTACTAACAGTAGTATGACAAAAGTGTGTGTTTCGTCGTTCCCTTTTGAGCATTACCTTTCCTGAATCGTTGTCGGAAGGGACGGAGGGCGGCTGCTCCAGCAGTGCACCCCAGCTGTACAGGAGGGCTGTGTTGAACGTGACACCATGACCTCTCGCAAACCATCTCCATGCTCCCTGCAGTACCCACAAAAGGACGCCCCACACCACTACGCTCGTCAGTAGTGCTATCCACAATTCTCCTGGAGAGGGCTGAGATTTAATACAGTATTCGTTTCGAATATGATCATGTGGAAATAACTACAGTAATGAAGCACAGTTCATTTGATTTCCTATCTTCCGGACACTTCTTTCACCTCCTCATCTCTTTTTTATATGCTTTTCTTATTCTCTGCGTTCAAACTACCCCATTTAATGTTCTCAATCACGCTATTTCTGTTACATGTAATAAGCTTCTCTCCTGTATCCATCGTCTAAGCTTCACACTCATATAATGACGTCGCCTCCACCAGAACCCAGTCCAGCCCTATCTTCGTTTCTTTCAGTGCGGTTCTCTCTATGTGTGTGTATCAATCGATGAACCCTGATTTTCCTGTACATGAAGTATACACCAAGAAAACTATTATAAATATGGTACATAGAATTTATTTCAGTCAGTTTTGTGTGAGTGGACACTCCTTGGCAGTTTGTACGGGTAGATGGAAATGGCGGTGTCGAGGTTGCCTACGGTAGGGGAGCAGCTGTGTCTGTGCGGGGCCATACAAACAAAACAGCACGTTGTGTAGTCCTGCCCCATGACTCGGTGTGTGTGTGTGTGCATAGTTGCAATTTTACATCGATGGAACAACTTCTCTCTACTCTTAATAGCTTAAGTTCTGTATGTGAAGCTATTCATAAGATTGTGTCCATTTTTACATAGTCGTCTGTTACAGATGTTTAATCGTGCACATTTCATGCCTGTATTTGTATGTATTTCATTTATGTGTTTCGGGTTTTATAAAACTTCCTTTATAATCCTATCCAGGAACACATAATTTATTATTTTTTTTAAATGTTCTGGTTTCGATTTATATTCTTTGTGGACCATAAACTTAGACAGTTTTCATTTAATGATTTACATGAATTTATTTATACAAATTATATTTTTGTGGTCAATAAACTTATCCATTTCTATACACGTCTTAAGTCACCTTCTATTTCTTTGGTCCCGCTTCATTTGCTATATACTGTACTGTATATAAAAAAAAAATCTTTCCTCGTGTGTTTCCTTCTTAGTATCGTTCTCTACGTATTATCAACGCATCACTTTTGTTCTCATTCATCATCAACTTTCTCTTAGTAAACCCCCTTCCACACTCATTTACTACCATTTATGGCATTAAGCATATTTTTTACCCGTTTATTTTCATTATTTTCCATATCAATTTTCTCTCTACTGTTTCATATGTTCTTTCTAAATCCATAAATACCACAAAACAATTCTCTCCATTCCCTACAGACTCTTCTTACTCATGATGCTCTTTTACGCAAAATCTTGATCCAAACATCCAATTCCTTATCTGAACCCGCTCTGCTCTTTTAAATAATTATCTCAATAAGGGCTTACATATATTTTCCCTTGATACCGGAAACTACACATACTTTGATTACCTTCGTTATATCTTGTAATATAATATGTATGTTCTTGTTGTTCGTTATATCAATATTACACCTCTTTTACTCAAATCATCAGGTGTGATCACATCCACTGTTGAATGTACAGCCTCCCACACGTCCATCTGCTACAGTCAGCGTTGTCAATCCGCGTCTCCAAGAGTTGAGAACCACGGGAGTATGAACCTGCTTCCAAAACATTCGCTCGTGACGTGGAGTGAGTAACCGGGGGCCAGTGTGTGATGGTCTTGAGTCGGTGAAGAGGGTAGGAGTGGAGGTGGACTGGAGGAATTGTGTGGCTAGCAAGACTGGACTTTTTATTATTTAAAAACATATAAAAAGTTAACCTGTGGCTTAATACCATGATTCACTCATACTGGCTGAGAACTAATATTATTTACTCATTCTTGCTTTGTGCAACCAGTCACCAGAACAGAACCTCATATAAACTACTGTATATTCACACCACACTCATGATAATGACCAAGAGTAGTCACACTTTCTATAACACGTGTTATGATATCTGTGTCAGCTTCCCCTGCCCTAATTACAGGGAAAAGGGGAAATTAATCCACCGCACTATGCATCAGAGGCCATGTAGCGCTGCTCTGAGAAGGGAGAACACTACCTCTCCCACCTGGGGCGTGGCAGACAAGGGATGAAAGGGAGGGCACAACACCTCCCCGTCCTGGGTCTAAATCTTAGCGGGAGTTTTATTTGCCTTAATGACCCTTGTGAATTTGATAGGTGTTAACCTGTATTTTAAGTAATTAAGCGCGACAGAGCCTAATTACAGGAAACTACTGATATTTGTTTAATGAATATCCATGACGTTAGCTTTAGAACCAAGTAGGACAAGGGAATTAAAAGTCTTGCTTAATTCATAGTATTGTCAAATAACACAAAGATTATGCTACGAGGTGTAATATGGTTGTCATATATTTAAGAAACAATAGACTAATATACATGACAGTCTACAGTGGTGTATAGGTTAGCCAGTAGCCGGCCGTGGCCAGACTCAAAGGTTACTGCGTGAGGTAAATAATCACTGACAATATAAGTTGCCATATATGTAAAACATTTAAATATTCCTAATTCATTCAAACGGGCTGAGGGCAGCCTAGGCCAGCAGTGGCGTGTGCTGTATAGTTAGGGAGGAAGGTATGCTTTAATTACCATATGGATCGGCTAGCATAATTATTTTTCTTGGTAAACAACTTTCAAATGATACCACTATATTTGCTGAAATTTGGTGAGGAAGCCAGTAAGCACCGATTCACTTGAGAATAACTTAAATGAAACATATTTGTATTGCCATTTAAAGAAAACTTCCGAGAGTTAAGAAGGGTAAGAAATCCACTAGAACTAACCACGCTGCTCTACCTGGTATGGTTAACCACTGCCAGGCGTAGATGTTGCTTTGATTCGCACTCTATCCTATACCTAAATACAGTTGTTTAACACCAGCATATTATTCAGCGAAATTTACAATTAATTAAGTTTACCCTCCATAGTAATGACTGGCCATAAAAACTTTCCCAGTGCGCAATTTTGTACACCACAGGCAAATGTAGTACCCGTATTCAAAAAGGGAGACAGAGCATCAGCGTCAAATTACCAGCCGATCAGTTTGACGTCAGTAGTGGGGAACTTTCTTGAATCAATTATAGCAGATAGTATCCGATCTCATTTAGAGAAAAGCAAATTAATTTACGACTCAACATGGGTTTACAAAGGGAAAATTTTGTCTAACAAATCTGCTGACGTTTTTTAGGAAAGTCTTCGAGGTAGTAGATAATGACGAAAATTACGATGTTATTTACTTGGACTTTCGCAAAGCATTTGACAGAGTACCGCATGAGAGGCTTCTCAGAAAAATTAAGGCTCACGGTATCGAGGGGGAAGTTTTAAATTGGATAAAATCATGGCTCACCGATAGAACGCAGAGGGCCGGCGTAGATGGTGTTAAATCTGAGTGGGGCCGTGTAACCAGTGGGGTTCCCCAGGGGTCAGTACTAGGCCCACTCTTGTTCATAATCTACATAAACGATCTAGATACTGGGATCAGCAGTAACATAAGCAAGTTTGCGGATGACACCAAAATAGGGCGGCAGATTAATTCAGGGCAGGATGCAAATGCATTACAGGAGGATCTAAATAAATTGCAGGGGTGGTCTGAAAAATGGCAAATGAAATTCAACACCAGCAAGTGCAGCGTACTTAATATTGGAAGAACAAATACTGCGAATGTATACAGCCTTAACGACATCAACCTAGAGAAGTCGACTTGTGAAAGAGACCTAGGGGTACTTGTAAGCCCGGACCTACGGCCTAGAAAACAGTGCGTTAATGTTCGAAATAAGGCAAACAGAGTATTGGGTTTTATATCTAGAAGTGTAAGTAATAAGAGTGCAGAGGTCTTATTGGAACTATATCTTACGCTAGTCAGGCCGCACATCGATTATGCGGTTCAGTTCTGGTGCCCTTATTATAGAATGGATATCAATTCACTAGAGTCGGTGCAGCGAAGAATGACGAAAATGATTCCGGGACTTAGAAACCTTCCATATAAGGATAGGCTAAAGAAACTAAACTTGCATTCCCTAGAAAGACGAAGAGTGCGGGGAGATATGATAGAAGTATTTAAGTGGGTGAAAGGAATCAATAAAGGGGATATAGATAAAGTTCTTATAATATCCGAGCAGGATAGGACTCGGAGCAGCGGATTTAAGTTAGATAAGTTTAGGTTTAGGAGGGAGATAGGAAGAAACTGGTTCACAAATAGGGTGGTGGACGAGTGGAACAAGCTTAGCAACTTTGTAGTAAGTGCTGGAACGCTGGAAAGCTTCAAAAGAAGGCTAGATATATTCATGGATGATAGAGAGTGGCAGTAACTCTCGACAGGAGCTGCCATGCACAGGCCAACCGGCCTATTGCAGACTCCTTATCTTCTTATGTTCAATAGACACAACACAACGATCCACGGCGGCCATTCCCTATGGTCACTAACACGAGCACTTAGGGGCACAGCCAAACTGTGAAATACTCTACCTTCTTCTGTGTTTCCATACTCTTATAATCTGTCTACCTTTAAAAAGCTGGTTTTCCGATATCTTCGCTGTGTAGAGTAAGATAACCATTTCCTTTTCTCTTTTTAATTTCTTTCTATTCATATTGTTTCACCCCCCAGGCTTTGTTGTGAGTCGTTGACCTGTGCCCGGGTGGGCTAATCCCCGTAAAAAATACGATACCTCATTATTCTCTTTCTTACGCTTTAGCTGGAGATGTTTTACCTTGGCGTCTCCCATCCCTGTTGCCACCTTTCACTCCTACCCTCCTCACCCCCCACTAGCTCGTCACCTTCCTCACACAACCTCCTCCCCTTCCCCCACCCCACGTCACGAGTGACCGCTTCGGATGCGGGTTTGCACTCCCGTTGTTCACAACTTGGAGATGAGGATTGACAACAGGAAACATTGACATTGAGCTAGTGAATCTACCACATTCAGGACATTTACTTAATAGCAATAATGTAAAGGAACTACATTATACCTTTTTGGAAGGTCCATATCTGGGTAAAACCCTCTATAAACTGGAGGAGTGAATGATTCGGACGCGGGTTCATACTTGTACTCTCGAGTTTCACAACTCTCGGAGATTAGGATTGACAATGCTGACTGTAGCAGGTGGAAGTGTGGGAGTGTCATACATTTGTGTTTGTTTGTTTGTGAATGTTTTTAAATTAGATTCTATTAGCTGAGTCAAAGGAAGTAATATATACCTAACTACTTTGCCCCTCAACACCAAAATAAATAAATAAATAAAATAGACCGAGGACTTGGGTTCCAGAAATTATGAGACAATACCTTACATGAACCTTATAATTACTGACACTGACTCATATCCCCATCAATCAGGTCCTCATGGGCATTTTTATTGGCATTATGGCATACACTAACCTTAAATGTGCCACGAGATTATAGAGACATGGAGATAACTTTATGTAATTTCTTTTTGGAAGCTGTAGACTGTTCATAGACGATCATATGTATCACCCGAATACATATAAATGAAAATTGTCATCGAAAATCTAACCTAACTTCAGGTATAATTGTATAATTTAGCTATCTTATGATAGTAAACGGTATCCTCAACGAAGCAGAGTAGATTTTACCACATATGAATTAAATTCCCTAAATTATGGAAATTAAAAGTTATCCCTCATCAACTTTTTAAAGCTTAATCGGCGATATCTCTATTTACTGTGTGGGGAATAAATGACACAACAAATATATTTACATCACCTGTAAAAGGTCTTATCAGTGAGAGGTGTGCGGGCAGTAGCTTAGGCCTGAGTGACAACAAGGTGAGGATGTCTGAGTCGTAGGCTTTGGCATGTTTCATCACGCGGAGGCGAGGTGCCGTCATAGATGCCATGGTACAGAAGTCCGCCTCCTCCCGCTGTAGCTGACCCATCATCCCGCTGTAATGACCATTACTCTCCCGACCCCATGACCGCTCTGGCTCTTCCCGAATTCCATATCTTAGGTTGTTTTGGTGTTTTTATTGAATGATTTAGTTCAATAGTTTCATCTGCCATACATTATATATATAATATATATAATAAAATGGAGAACCCGTGAAAATGCAAACATCATGAATAAGTTGGGTTATTTAATTACAAACGTTTCGGAAGTATCCGTCATCAGGGCCTAGAATTTCTGACAGACAAGTTTTAAAAATCACAGGTAATATACAATAAAAACGAAACAATATTCTAAAATTTACCTTCCATAATTTTTTTTAAGAGCATTATATTTTAAAACCAATAAAAATGACGGGAGACCTACGTACAAAACTAAAATCTGAAAAAAAAATATAAAGGGGATATTACCTAAATTGAATCGAGCCATATCACAAATAGATAGAGTTACTGTATAATGATACAAGGCTTCCAATATGAGGAGGTCCGTCTCACTGTTGCTCCTGCAAAGAACTGAGAAATCAGACTGCGAAAACGGGTGGTTAAGTATATTCACCATCCCGTACACAGGCCCACTCAGTTTCACCCTTAGAAACAAATTTAAGAAGCTTCTCAGTGAATTCTATCCACAAATTTTTCTTAGACTATTCTTCAAAACCCAGAGTTCAATTAAAAAATTCCTGAAGAATTAAGACACCATACCCACACACTTGCAATCCTCAGTTGTTTATCACTTTACGTGTGCTAGCTGTAGGGCAGCATATATAGGTAAAACTAAAAGACATTTGATAACTCGCATTAATGTGCACTTGGGCCGTTCCGTCCGAACAGGCCCACCAACGTGACCACCCGTTTCGCAGTATCATTTCTACGTAGGTCACCCGACATTTTTATTTATTTTTAATTATAATGCTCTTTTAAAAAATATCGCAGAAGGTAAATTTTAGAATATTGTTCCGTTTTTATTGTATATTAATTGTAATTTTTTAAACTTTTTGTTTATTTTCTAGGCTCTGATGATAGAAAATGATTTTCCGAAACGTTAGTAATTAAAGAAACCCAACTTTGTCAAGATGTTTGTGTTTTCCCTGGTTCTCCTTTTCATTATGAAACTACGCTTTCCACGTAACAAGTCATTGCTGAATATACAGTATATATATATATATATATATATATATATATATATATATATATATATATATATATATATATATATATATATATATATATATATATATATATATATATATATATATATAAGCACAAGGAAAAAAACACAGAGGGATTTCCCAATATATATGTAATTGCATCTTCAGTGGTAGTACAGACTAAGGAGAAATACATAACAAGTCATATATATATATATATATATATATATATATATATATATATATATATATATATATATATATATATATATATATATATATATATATATATATATATATATATATATATATATATATATATATATATATAGAGTGCGCGTAAGTCTAGGTATATGCTGATAACCACAGGAAAGAAAACACAGATTCCCAACGCTTTCGTGTAATTCACATCTTCAGGGGTGAGTACAGGCTAGCCTGTACTCACTGAAGAATCCTTGTAATTATATATATATATATATATATATATATATATATATATATATATATATATATATATATATACAGTAGAGGAGGGTGAGATCAAGTCCACAATGGTCCAGTCACTAGGCAGTGACCCTACTAATCTTCAAAAGCACAGCAGCAGTCGGTAGTCAGGTCGGAGGTACTCTGGAAGCTCAGATCTCGTTATGAGGTCGGTTTCAACCGTCAGGTCTATGTACTTCACCCCCAAGCGTGATGCCCCTTCTCTCAACTGCCTCTTCAAACTATCAAAGTTTGCCCTTCTGAAATCTGGGGCTTTTGTAGAATTTTCCTTACGGCTGCCCTGAAAATCTAACTGGAATCTAATTTCTTTGTGATCGCTGTTTGCAAGTTCGTTTCCTACCTCGACATTACTAATGAAGTTTTCTCTGTTCGACAGAACTAAATCGAGTATATTATTACCCAGTGTGCTATTACTGACAATTTATCCCTGGGAGCTAAGACGCTGTGACCTTTCCTCTAGCGAGGTCAGAAGACAACTTAGCCCCCTCCATCAAATTCACTGTGGAATTAAAGCATGACTGTAAATTGCCATTCCTAGACTGTCTGATCCACAGAATAGGTAACCCCTTTAAGTTCAGAATTTATAGGAAACCCACCAATGTGTGTTCATACATTCATTATTATTCTGCCCACCATAATAGAGTCAAACAGTCAATATTTTCATCAATGTTTTTACGTGCTTTGAGAATTTGCAACCCGGAATTCATTAACGAGGAATATAAATATATCTATAATATTGGCTTGAACCTTAAGTACCCTAGATCTTTTATAGACAAATGCCTTAACCTTACTAAGAAATCTTTTTATAGAACCAATCCCAAGCCCACCCATAACCATAAGAATCTCTTAGTATTACCATTTCACAAAAATTTCTCTAAAATTCCTTTACAACTAAAAACCTGGAACGTCAATGTGGCATTTAAAAACTCATGCACTGTTAAACAAATGTTAATCAAGAACTCCTCCAACAATACAGGCGGCTGCATTTATAAAGTTCCTTGCAAGGAATGTAATATGTTTTACTTAGGCCTGACAGGTAAAGATCTTGTAACTAGACTTAAACAACATAAATATAGTGTTAGGACAGGCCAGGAATCCAATGCTCTGTTTGTTCATTTGAGGGATAATAAGCATTGCAATGACTGGGATAATGCCTCCTCAATGTTACCTTGTAATTCAATTGACAGTAGGAACATTATAGAATCCACTCAAATTAAACATACCGAATCCGTCAACATGAATTTGAGTAATGGTATGTACAAACTGGATAATTTCGTAATTAAGAAGATTTGTAACCAGGTGAGAAGGTTAGGTCATCTTACCCTCTGACCTGATTACCGACTGCTGCGGTGCTTTTGAAGATTAGTAGGGTCACTGCCTAGTGACTGGACCATTGTGGACTTGATCTCACCCTCCTCTACCGTATATATATATATACCTTGTTATGTATTTCTCCTTTACCTGTACTCACCCCTGAAGATGTGAATTACACGAAAGCGCTTGGGAACTTCGTGTTTCATTTTTTCCTTGTGGTTATCAGCATATATATATATATATATATATATATATATATATATATATATATATATATATATATATATATATATATATATATTTTACTTACTCCATATAACACACGGACTTTGAACATATAATCAACGGCCTCACCAGCCAGGAATCAGACCCTCGACCTACTGGGTGACGTTCCCTAGTCCCACCTGTAGGTCGAGGGGTTCGATTCCTGGCTGGTGAGGTTCTATTATATATATATATATATATATATATATATATATATATATATATATATATATATATATATATATATATATATATATATATATATATATCGTGTGTGTCTGTGTGTGTAAATGTACAGTGCGTTTACAGACACTCGTCAACTGTATTTGGTTGAAGTTAATTCGCAATAGTAAACATAATATGGAATCAAGGTAAAATAAAATATTAAAACAAATATAAAAACGTAAAAATTTGTGGAGAGTTTATAATATAAACATTCAACAAATATTATGTTTAAAAAGAAATGCATTAAATACTGTTATTAGATCGTAAATTTTGCCTTGTGGACGGTGGTATAGCGAGGTGAAGTGGGGGAGGGGTCAGAAGGGAGGGCAGTGGAGGCAGGTGCTCCTCTACCTACAGTAATTGTATTCTGTGAATGATGAACTATTAACACTTAATTAAGTCTTAAGTTTATTTATATTATTTTCTTTGTCTGCTGTATTATGCAGATAACATTCTCACTGTTCATGTTCATAAGAGGTTTGAAGTTAATTGCAGTGATTTTTTATTTACATGTGCTTGTTACTAGCTAGAATAATCCACTATACTATACTAGTAGAGTAAATAAAACAAGTAATAATAATATGAGTGCTTTCAATCTGTCTCAGTATCCGAGGTGCGTGTCACGTCTGGTTGTGTAAGGATGGTAAACTGTAAATGAAAATATGACTTTTTCTAAGCATAACTAATATTATTCCCTGTTTATAAGTTATATAAATTTCTGTATCTGTAAAGGAACCAGGGACAAGTTAGGGGTGTGAATTGACTTAACATTGATAAATTACCGTAATCTCTCTCTCACACACACACACACACACACAATTATTACACCACGTGAGGCCCCTCTTAACACCATCTGTGAGGGAATTACTACATCACGTGAGGTCCCTCATAACACCTTCTGTGAGGGAACTACTACACCACGTGAGGTCCCTCATAACACCATCTGTGAGGGAACTACTACACCACGTGAGGCCCCTCATAACACCATCTGTGAGGGATTTACTACACCATGTGATGCCCCTCATAATACCCTAAATGGATAAATGATTATTTAAAGACTATTATTGGCCAAATGAAGGGTATAGGTAGGAGAATAAATCGTGGTGAAGTTTACCTTCGAGATTATTATAAGGTATTGGCCGGTAGAGTTAAGACTGAGATAAGAAAAGCAAAGAGGAATAATGAACTGAAGGTAGCAAGGAAGGTGAAGTCAAACCGCAAGGGATTCTATCAAATGTATCAAACTAAAACACGAGTAAAGATTAGACCAATGCAGTCAGTTACTGGTGAGCTCACTGATAACGACGGAGAAATGAGCAAAAATCTTAATAAATATTTTTCAACAGTTTTCACCACCGAAAATTTAAACATAATACCCGAGGCACCGACTCTATACGGAGATAGTGAAGAAATAAATTAAGCAAGATAGTAATGACGAGTAACGATGTTAGTAAGCAAATAGACAAACTAAAGCCTAATATGTCGCCAGGTCCCGATGAGATATTTGCCAGAATTCTAGAGGATAGCGAATGTAATATCGATTTTCAAGAAGGGAGATAGATCACTATCCTCTAACTATCGTCCAGTCAGCTTAACATCAATTGCAGG